TTCATGAAATAGGACTCAAGGGACATATCTCTCTCTACGCTGATGACACGTGTCTCTTTTACTTTGGTCATCATATAGAATCTGTTTTACAAGAGGCGCAGGATGATCTAAAAATATTGGAAAAGTGGTTTTTGAGGAATTTATTGACTGTCAATGCCTCAAAGACCAATTACATAATATTCTCAGCAAAGAACAAAAAAATTCATGATCACCGACCTCTAACTATCAATGGAACTGTGTTGGCCAGGGTAAATAGGGAAAAGTATCTCGGGCTTACACTAGACAGTCAACTACAATGGAAACCACACATTGAACACTTACGTTCCAAACTAACCTGCCTAACAGGTTGTCTCCGAAATATTGCAAGGTGTCTTCCCATTAATGTTCGCTACACAATCTACAACTCAATGGTGAAACCTCATATTGATTACTTGATAGAGGTATGGGGATCAGCTGCTAAAACACATCTTAATATGCTGCAAAGGGCTCAAAATAAATTGATCAAAGTTCTTTTTCATTACAAGCATTTAACTCCAACCGTTAAAGTATATCAAGAGACAAAACTACTTAATATTTGCCAAATCTACCATTACAACACGTCTATTTTAATAAGGAAAATTTTAAACAATGAAATTCACACACAATTAAAGTCCACAACAACTGTACACACGCGTAGTTCAAGACGTGCAAACTTCTTAAAACTCTCTAAACCCAGGACTAATTACGGAAAAAATAATATTATGTATCAAGGGGCACGGATCTACAATTTACTACCCAAAAATATAAAAGACGCGAAGTCGCTGGTATTATTTAAAAAGCTGTTAAAGGAACACATTTTCAAAGGCACCACCTGAAATTCATTCTAAAACCTTTGACTACTGATAAAATTCATGCACTACTATTTTTGTTGTTATATTATTATATGTATTATTTTATTTTTTTATTTTTGGTAATTAATTTTTTACACTGTTGTAAAACATAACTTGTTAAAAGAAAAAGAAAAAAAAAAAAAAAACTTTTTGCATCACAAGGTAATTACTGCATGTAAACCCACCATTATATTTGCTCCACTACAAACCAGTATTAGATCGGACAACTTAATTTTAAGAAGTACCTACATCGCATAAAAATCAGTTTGGAATTATCTACCTGTCAACGTTTACTTTTATCTTTTATAATTTGTATTTTATTTCTCCTTGTAAGTGATTTGTGTAATCTTGAGAAATAAAGTGATATTTAAACCGTATATATATATATATATATATATATAATATATTCCAAGTAAAAACTTAAAAGTGAAAGTAAATGCAGAACAAACTGTCACAATTCACAATATATATCAATCATATATACCAAACAAATTGATAGTAGTAAATGCGTTTATAAAAGACTAGGATTACTACTTAATTTCAAGGTGTTTTCTTCTACTTATTGGTCCCGCAAATGGAAATTACTTACGCTGTTGCAAAGTACCTACGTAAATATTGTGACAGGCTTGTCATCATCATCATCAACGGCCTTTAATAGTCAATTGCTGGCCAGACGGGTTGGTATAAGGTTTGTTTCAAGTTTTCCTTCTCTTTGCAGTGCTATTGTCCTGCATAGTTTGCTCCCTTAGTTAGCGCTTATGACACCCATGGGATGAATAGAGGTGGTAAAAGGCTTCAATAACAAATACTGATGTAAATCCTATACCACTTTGTCACACTCGTCACTTTCTCAATAGCAAACTCACACTAACAATAATATGTGAAATAATGCACCACGTCAATGTGTGGACGCATTTACAAGGCGGATGTCAGACTTGCTCACGCAAATTATGCAATATATTATATCGGTTATAGGCATGGACACACTTGCGAGACTGGAATTTTGTGAGGTGCATCTGTGGAATGTGTTGGTGTCCCACTTTATGTTAACTGTAAGGAAATTAAGTACAAGTTAATAACGGTTTCTTTTGTATCGTTCGTTCCGGCCACACAAGTTGATGAAACGCCATGCATGCCGCAAAATACTCGTCAAATACTCGTAAAATCTTTCCCACTGAGAACGGAGCAGTCATACCTATAGGAACATGCAAAGTAAATTAGGACTCAGTGAAGAAGCGTTATGTATTCCTTGGCAAGGGGAATACGAGTAGTACAAAGTAGTTACTTTTGTTTTTCATACAGCTGCTAACGGTAGCTACTCCCATTTAGGTATTTAAACGGTTGGCAACAAGTGTGGGTAGGGATAGCTCAGATGTTGCAAGTAAATCTGTGAGTAAATCGACGTAAAAGATAGTCCGGTTATCTTAACTATTTAGAAAAAGTTTTTAAAGAGGGTTTTGGCAAGTAATCTTCGTAGTGAACGCTCAATAGACCGTTGAAGTGATGTTGTCGCTCGAATCGGCGAAAAAAGACTGAAAAAGGATTGCGCCCACCTCCTTGATTAGTGTTAGACATTATTCAGCTTAGATGAGGGATTCCGGCTCACCCAAGATTTATACTCACATATTCAATAACGTCACATGGTAAAATATCCTTTATAAAAATGCAATTTTATTTGCAGTATTAAGATATCTATCTATAGTTGTGAATTCACCTTAACAACTTTGTAAATACATTTTTTTTAAGTATGTGTCCTAGGCGTGCTTTACTGATAAAATATTTTATCTGTTCTGGGAATCAAACCAAGGGCATCACGATTGAAGAGGAGAATGAATCTTAATTAAAATACTACTCATTGTGTTATTTTCAATGCAAACAATAAATCTGTAGATTGCTGTGCGTCTAGTTGCGTACACGCCGACCGGTTAATGTGTCCTTTGGCTAACCTATTTGTTCATGGAGGTCAATGTGAGGCCATCGCAACGCTTAGTTGGGATTAGTCTTATTTTGATGGTGCATTTTAATGGTATACTTCTAAACATTATGCATTGATTTTTTTATTTGGTCCTGATTTTCCTTTAGTTGTGTTCTTATCGATTGGTTACAACATCTAGTAGTGTATTTTAGTATTTATCGTCGTTTGTCGTAGTAGTTTAAATTTATCAAAAAATAACAACTAATTTCTGTACTCACTATAAAACTGCTATTTCTGTACAACTAAAGCGTTATAACTAGTGTGTAATTTAAACCAGAGGTACGTAGTAACGGTTACTGCTCCATATTTCTAGGGCAACTGGTCGTTCTCTATGCTAATGTTCAACACAAGTTATGTACTATGATATGAAGTCATTAAGCCACGCGGTCATTTATTTACTGTATGACGTGACGCTTTCAAATGAACCCACCTATCGTTTGTTTTGTTTGTTTTGTGAGCCCCCAATCAGAAACTTTCGTGATAATGATCTATCAAAGGCTATATGTCACTCATAGATAGTCGTGACTTGGTGTCGGAGTTCATGTGAAACGCAGATAATTGTAAAACATAATATATAATGTATATATATATTTTTTAAATTTTCACTACATTTTGTGGGTTCAAACATAAGCTTACATTTTTTTAAAGATCGTCACGCTATCATCGCCTTAGTAACAGAATTAAAAAATCATAAAATATCACAATAATAATAATATTAGGTCATTCAGTTTCTCATCACATCATCCATACATTTTGTCTTTTTCTAGCAGGGAGAAGAGGGGAACATAAACTCTAAACTAGTAAACATTAAGTATGTTTATCACCAGTCTGGTTACCATAGCACAGGCTCTGCCTAGTTTCTGAGCAGACTGGCATATTATTATAGTACATACAAACAAAAAATAATGATACTTGCCCCTACTACCACCTATCTCCAATGAAAAATAAATAAATGACGTCAGGCTGGGATGCAGTAGAGGTGTATTAAATGTACCTTGTGCAATTTGTATAAAATACAAATTTAATAAAACAAAAACTTATTTACGCCACAGTATCAAAATTGCGTCATATGAGCAATCAAATCATCAGTTAGATACTAAAAGTTCACATGAACATAACCATAGAGAAATCAGTTGGACACGCCTCTTACTCAACAAATCGATTTACTATCGATATATTGAGTGGATCTAATTCAAAACAATAATCATCTATAAATTAACAATGATCATGAAATACTTTCTCACAATTAATGATCATTCTTAAAATCAGGTACCGTCCTAAATTTATCATAAATTTAAAAGTAGAACTTACTTCAACAGCTTCAATGTTTAAAATACTTTGAATTTATTCTGCATTGAGTAAAATGCTTTATCGTAATCGATATTCGATGACAGTTATACTGATTTCGGTCGACAGTTCGTTTAGTAAATTAGATTTTCCTCCTGACTCATACAATTACAAGCTTTATTGTTCTGGTAACATGGTTTTGTATTGTCCGTGGTAGTTATATGGCACAATCTGCGACTACCTGACCTGCAAATCGCCCAGTGACCCTGCTCTAGTTGCAAACCAGTAATAATAATTTTCACTGGCAGTTGGACATCTTTATTAGGCTTTGACGGACTTTCTTCCATTGTGAGTTAAATGTTCATAAAAGAAGTAAATAAGGTATCATTATTACTCCGATTTCTTAACAATATTTCGCAATAGGGCGAACATTGTACGGTCTTGGAGGGTTTAACAAGAAACAAAAATGATATTTAAAAAACATCTCTAAGAATTTTTAGATAAACCCCAATATGATGCTAGCCAAGAACTACTTACTGCATGAGGAAATTTCAACTGATCTTAGAAGTGAATATTTCAGAGTCACCAACAAAAAGTTTCTTTATCTCTAGCAATATATTTTTTTCTATTTAACATGAACATTTTGTATTTTAAATCAAAAACAAAATAAGCATTTTCTACTCTACACTCCGAAGATTCGCAGCATACATTGATAAATTGTATGATTACACTTTAGAATACATTGTATGATTTTTTTATAACCTCCCTTACTTTATACTACTTCCTTAATCTATTCACAACTTGGTCCCAGGGCCATTAAAAAAATTAATTAGCTTTTACTTTAATTTAACTTTTACTTAAAATTTCAGGTAAACTGACAGCAGAGGATGAAGAAGTATCAGCGCTTAGAATTATGTCAGCCGGAACTGTTGTAACAGAAGCTCCACAAAACTCTGTACCAACAGCAACCCAAACAGAACTAGTTAAAAATAGAACGCAAGAGGTAGAAGTAACAACAATACCATATTTACGTGATGCTACTATTGATTATAAAGTTTCTATGGACTTCAGAGTGCCTGAATCTCCACCTACGGAAGTAAAACCTAAAGCAAGGCTGTTGAATTTAAATGTAGATGAGCTACAAAATTTTGCCAATGCGCTACACAATGAAACAAATTTGAAAGGTCAAAAGAAAAGTCTACCAGATTTAAGTGATGTGAATTTAGACGGAGATGATGATGACGAACCCAGAATTATGCCAGTTGAGCCAAAGGCTAAAGAAATATCAGATAAATTCTACACTAATCTCCAAGCACCGTTCCATTCACTGATAACTTCAGATCGTGGCTCTGAAGAAGTTGATACGTGCAAGGAGAATGAGATCGCTTATAAGGTTGGTATTTAATTTCCAAAATCTTAGGTACATCTTAGGTAAATTCTTTGTATTCAAATTTTGCTTACTTTATACCACATAAACTGATTATTGAGCGATTTACTCTTGTAGTATTTACTGTAAATAGAATCCCAATAAGCAGTTTATCATAACTTGATTCCTTGTTCTATTAACCCTGTTTTATATAAACTTTTTGTTTCATATCTAGATTGGTGATAGAATGGATCGTGGTTGTGAAGAAACATGTGAATGCATGTCCGGAGGGGTTTTTGAATGCTCTCCTCGCTGCAAACATCCGTACATACGAAGAGGTAGACGACTGAGCGATCCGTTGTGCTTCGAGTCACCGGTCGATGAATGCTGTTCAATAGTCGCTTGCGCTACTGGTACTGGTGAGCTTTTTCTATATTTCTCTACGAAGATCTCATTAAAATCTGGTTGTCATGCATTTTAAACTATATCCAGGAGAGTGCTTTAGTATTCGGAGTCGTTTACATCGGCTCATAAAACATGGTTTATATTTTTAAACAATAGATAGATAAAGATAAAAATTGTGACAGTTGAAAATAAAAATAATAATATTCAACTTCAGAGATCTATAAAAGTAAAAAACTGGGTTTATAAATATCAACACAACGTTCTTATCCTATAGTATAATAAAGTATAATAAATAACACTTAAAAATGGTATCAATGACACTGTAGTATTTTGTTATGGAGTGCTAAAACTTTAAAATCGACTTATAGATAAATAATGGGATCAGACAAAAGTTCTTGCTTGAGTAATTTTTTAAGTAAAGAAAGCCATTTCTTCCATTTTTTACTATTACATTAACAGTGATATCTTTCTAATGGGCAGTGAGAGCTGTATTTTAAACTAGAACCGTACCAAGTACCTACGTCCGCAGAAATACGAATTTTCAAAGTGACTCAAACTCAAAATGTTTCATATGTACTTACCTAAATGTGTATTATAAATATACAAAATTATTTCACAGATAAGAAAATAACGAAACTGGATGTATGTAAGTATGGAAACGACACCTATCCTGTTGGTGCGACCTGGCATATTGGTTGTGAACAGACCTGCATTTGCGAGCCTAAAGCCATTGTCACATGTCAACCCAGGTATGTACCTTACCCTGTCTACAATACACGTCAGTTTTTTTTTAACATATGCCGAGACTATTCACGAAAGAAATATATTTTGTTAAAGGCTTATTATCTCAAAGTTATTAGATTCTTAAACAGTATCATGTAATGATTCAATGCACTATGATCATTTTTACTTGTCTCCTATTTCTGTTTGGACTTTAAGAAGTTTAAAAAAAATAACTCTTACACATTTTGCTTATAGATGTAGTCCACTCCCGGTATCAGACAAGTGCATAAACGTGCAGGATCCCAACGATGCTTGCTGTGAAGTGCAAGTATGTGACGTCAGTCACGATGTACATGAGGAGCCCGAGAACTCTACATCATCTACCACGACAACTACTACCACCACCCCTACAACCGCAACCATAAAGATGACTCCTATTACCATCACTAGTACTACTGAGGTACCATTCATTTTTTCAAACCCAAACACCTTTTCTATATCAGTAGGTCGGTATATTTGGAACAGAATCTTCTATGCTTACATAGTTACAGTGAAGGCGCTATTTCTTATGAAACCTTTTTATCCTAGATCATCAAAGGCTTCGAAGATTACGAAGAACAAAACCCAGCCAATAGCAGACCACTAGTGCTGACCGAACCAATTGGCTCTGTTAAGGTTTTACAGAATAACTCGGTGCAAGTCAATCTGATGCATATGAACAATAGTGAAGATCCCATTCACCTTCTCCTCAGCAATAACGGAGGAAAGTCTTTTAATGACGTTGAATTGAAGTATTCAAACCTCATCTTAAACTTGGAAGGTGGAAGAGACTATATACTGAAGACCAAAGAGACTGGTACAAAATTCAACTTTACGATAACAGCATCTGATAATAATAAAGTTCCATATGAGATCGACGATAGTAACACAAAGATTGGTTGCTATCAAGATGGTAAATTTTACAGTGTAGGTAAGTGTATGGTACCGAAATAACTAACAATGCTATCCTCAAAACACTTCCTCTGTAAAAACTGAGTTACTTCGATATAAAGTGCGATATATATCTAAACATTTATAAATCATTTTTTGGATTTAGCAGTAACTACTCCGTGCCATGACTGAGCTCATCATACATTATTAGATATACTTATTATAAATTTACCAAAATAGTTAAGAAAAAACTTTCGTACCCTACCTTTCTATACCTTCTAGCCTTAAAATAATTATTTACTGACGAAAGTGACTCATTTAGTAATTTATCTCCTATGGATGCAGGTTTTTAAAACTTAATACTACAATTCGTTTAAAATAAAATAAAAAAAACAATAAAAAATTCATCTTAAACAACTAGACTTGATTTTATTAGCTCAACTCTATGTCTAGCCTATTTGTTCTCCAGTATGTACTTGTACTATTTACACGAATAAACTTTTCTTTACAGGAGAAGAATTTCATATTGGGTGTGAGCAGCTTTGCGAGTGTACAGGCTTGAACACTCGAGAGTGTGCAGCTTTAATCTGCCCATCACATGTCGGACTCGAGTTGGTTTCTAAGGGCTGTGTAAGATGGGCCCCAAATCCTCCTGCGTCACCACCTAACTGCTGCCCAAGGTCGGCGAGGTGCTTAAGCGATGGAACCTGTCATTACAAAGGAATAGCGTAAGTTACTATGTTATTTAATTTTATACATACGTTGAGTAAAATACAAATATTCATCGTGTAAAGATTATTTACACGATGAATATTTAAGGCTTATCCGTGATTTATGTTTCTAGACTTACACAAATTAAGAATAAGCCTAATTATGTGTGCTACCTTAATTTCTCTTATCTACAAATACTATAATCTCTCTTATTTATACAAATTATTTACAGGGTTCCGAATTGGAGCGAAGTACCTATATCCCTCACTGGCTGTGAACAGCGTTGCTTCTGTGAGAACGGAGAATTGGACTGCCAAGAGGTCTGCTCTCCTCTTCCTTCTGTTCCTCCTCAGAGTCTTAGGTGTCCACCCAACCATCGGCCCGCTGCTGTTAATATATCTGATGAAGACTGTTGTAAGCAGTGGGGCTGTGTTCCAAACGGTAAGGATGTAAATAAGGATAATACACAAATCCTATTATATTGAAAAATATTAAGCTTGGTGAAAGTGTAAGTTCAACAGTCTTTTCGTTAAAACAATCAGGTTATTCATCACCATCGTAATCAATCTTAAAGCTTTTTATATATTTTTGCAGATATCATTAGATCTTTAAGAGCAATCATCATGATCATATGCATCATCATACCACTTTTCATCTTGTCATATATCATTTGCATGTCACTCATTCACCCATTATTGCTTACAGCAGAAAACGAACAAAATCAAGCTTTTCAGACTTACGCCATACCGACAATGGGTGAAGTAATGACTTATGTGACACCTCTACCTCCTCTACTGCCAACACTATCACAAGTTATGCCTAGCCCTACCGCTACAACTGACTCCATTGACTTTTACAGACATTTAAGCCCCGTGAAATCCTTATCAAAATATATGAAAACAGCATCTATGGCTCCTAAATACGATTACATGGAAATAGCCTCTCCTCCTCCTGATTCAAGTCAAGTTCAAGGAGATAACATTACTGTCTTTACTCTAGATGACGTTGAATCTCCATTTAAAACAATTCATCCAGAACCAACGTTAGCTGGTGTTAATAATAATAACAATCACTGGGAGATCCCAAATAGGAGACCAGATTTGCCCAAATTACAGCAGCCTTATAGAAAACCTCAAACTATTTATAATACTTATTCATATCCTGAAAAACATAACATGATTTCAACCGAAAATGATAGCCAAGACTATGGGTATCACAATCCATCGAATGTTCAAACCGAGACTCCAAAGCTGACCATTCCCGACAAAAATTTTAAATTTTCATATGAGCCTGTAAGAAAAGTTCCTCTTTCAACGGTTGAAAATATGAACTTCTTTTTACCATCTTTTGAAAGACACAGACCAGTCCCTGATAATTCCTATTCTAAATATCAGATTGATACGACACCTTTGAAATCCAATGCATTAGCAGAACCTGTAAAATTGACCCAAAAATTTTTTGAACCTGCAATGGTTAATGCCTCTCTTAACTATCATCGTCCTTCGGTTTCTTATCCCAAGGCTCAAATTAGTCAAAGCCAAACTTTATCTCGTGATAAGCCTGTACTTAGGAAACAAGTGACAATACTAAAGACGAAAGACTTGAAGAACCCGAAATCGACTGAGATGTACAACAATGGTGGAATATGGGGCGAACAATCGAAGAAGCATGTTTTGACTAAACTACCCAATCCATATGAGACTGTATTACTTAGGGCCGTGCCCAATCCTAAAATACACATTGCACCGTCAAGGTTCAATCCGAATTCTAAGATACCACAATTACCTGTGAAAACATACACAGCAATGGATCTTGAACATCTGCTGAATCAAATGGAAGTGGAGTCTGTAGTGAATAAGAACCTGGGACGGTCAGCAGGGAAAGAGGATGATACCGAAGGTTTGTCCCCTCGCCTTGACTTCGGACTTTCCTTGATGTAATACTGACTGACTTTCACACAGTAAAATCACTTTATTATTTTTTTATATAGAAACTTATTCTGACTAACTGACTATCTAGGACGTAACAAAAATATATGTCCTACTTTTAGTCAACTTTAAACTTCGAAACAAAGAGTAAATTGTAACAGTTAATTATAAAATCTAAGCGTTCATATCCTATTAGTTTATTATTCCAGACGTATTATGCACATAATAATAAAAATAATTGCTGAAAATGGTTGTTGCATGATATAATATGATGATAAAGAGAGTAAATGTAATCGCTCATATTCGATTTATTACCGGAATATGGATTCTGAGACTATCTCGAAAAATTGATTATTTTGTAGTAAACATGTAAGTTTACTATTGACCCAAAATAAAGATACAAGATTTAATGTAATGTAGATGTAAATAAAAATATCATACAATTTGAAAATTATGTAAGAAATATTACTTACTTGAAATTTTTAGTTATCGATTTATCTATAAGAATATGGTGCACGTATAACAATAGAATAATCATCGTTGTGACTGTTAACACAATATCTCTTGGCAGTTCATTAATACTCATTAAAACTTGTATATGTGTTTAGTTTAATTTTAGATCTTCTGTTCTTCTTGAAGCAAGTTCAAATCTTTAAGAAACTAAACTGCAAGACGAACCGGTTATTTTCAAAGTTAATAAAAAGAAACTTTCTAAATTCCAGGTCAGCCAGTCTCGGAGCCGTCACATCCACCTTTTCTACCGACCATTGGTCCCGAAATCCACTTTCCTCAAGAAGACATTCCCGACTATGATCAAAATAACATACACCGTCCAGCAAACCCTATAGAACCTGCGTTGGCAGGTCTACCTCCAGGATTAACATTACCGCCACCATATGGAGATAATAATAAGAAGCTGAGTGTGATCTCTTTGCAAGCAGATTCACCAACTAGTGTAAAGATGCTGTTTGGATTACCATCTGTATTAGTCGGTTTAAGAGGCAGCGTGGACTTGAGATATACTGATAAGGCGTGAGTATTAAGTATTGTTATAGTTTTCGTTTAAGATTGTCTTCATTTACAGAAACCGAAAATATTATTTATGCTTTAAGTAGGTACTAAGAATATGCAACGTTTTTTATACTACAATTGTCGTAAACAGTACTTTCCTCGATCGTATCTTTGATGAGCTGGTGCCGATAACTTTTATAAGTTGCAACATCATTGACTTCCCTTAAACGTTTAAGTCACAATCTACGGGGTTTGACCTTACTGACCTTACTGAGCAACTTAAAGTCTTTGAAATAGGAATCATATTCTCAGGAAAGCGTCATCGAGGTCCGAAATAAACATGTTGCAAGTTTTTGCCTCGCGCAACCAACCTTTGCAGCAACTAATCGCTGGTAACGTATGAAGGTCATACCTTCAAGAATACTTTCAACCCAAAGCGCGGCAACATTTTTTGTGATTAGAGTTGCAGGTGGCGGGCGGCGGTAGATACCTACCATTAAAGCACCATAACCCCTATATAAAACAGAGGAAGTCTATCAAGTCGCACTATCTGATATTAGAATAAAAGATGTTATGTAATATAAATATAATAAGTCGATTCTTTTAATTTTCCAGTGAGCCCGACATAACTCACTGGTACTCTCAAGTGTTTGCTCCTGCTGATGAGGTGTTAACCACGCCTCGTTTGGAGTTCCGACTCACAGGATTGAAACCATCAACTATTTACAAGATTAAAGGCAAACTTTATCTACATAACCTGCCTGTGGAGCCAGAGAGCGAGATTTATACTGTACGAACACAGGATCAACCAACGGTAAGCTTTTAATAAAAATATAATAAATTGAGAGACACTAGGTTTTATAATTAATGTATGAAAAATACCAGTACCAATTAGAAATACTAAAAGTTTTACATTAGATGGTAACTACAACTGTTCAACCTGGAATTTGTTTTTCAATATTTAATTCATATTTTGTCTAATACTAATAATTTTTTGAAAGACTCGGGCCCATTGGTCTAGTGGTTAATGATTCTGACTGCTAAGCCGAAAGATCGTAAGAACGATTTCCAATTAGGATAAATAATTGTGTGATGAGAAAAATCAATTATTCTGCCAGTAATTTATCTATACTATGTATATATTTAGTAAGAAATAGGTATATTTATAAGCAGTTTAGTCTCCAAAGGATATGTCTAGTTTGGGATCAGATGCCAATGTGTAATGTGTCCCAAGTTATGACAATTTATTTTCCATAATCGGATGCATGATATCGAAACAATATCAAAATCGAGGCAAACATAAAATTTGAAATATAGATTGAGAAAATATTAAGAAAATATTAATACGCTTTTTGTTCTCAGTCGGTGCCGATGGAGGAGAAGCGTCGAGAAATTGATAGCCGTCTAACAGTGATGGAAGTGAACGACACTACTGCGCACGTTAGCTGGAGACACTTCAACGAGCAGGAGCTGATGTATATCGATGGAATACAAATTAGGTACGGCAATAACAATTACTGGTGCCTATGTATATATATAAGATTTATTTTACTGCTTGTTGCTCTCCATTCTACATTAAAGTCGTTTTATGGTGGGATAATCTGGGATCATCGATTCCTAACCTGTACGTGAAAGTGTGGTGAGCCTTAGATGGTATATTGCTATCATATGTGCTGTAACGTGACTAAACGTATTGTATTGTTACATTGATTCACAAAAACAGTTTACCAGTTTTAAACTTGTTTTGTTCCTCAGTAAAGTAAGGAAAAAGAAATGGCGTGCATTTATATTTCCATTTTTTTTATAAATGTTTTCTGGTAATCAGTTTTTAATAAAAATACATCAACAGGTATCGCCCAGTAGGCACACCAATCTACAGTATGACAGAGTTACTTCACCACAGTCGTTTATCAGCCGAGTTAAATGACCTACGACCTGATACAAAATATGAAGCATCTTTAATTCTTATTCCACCACCAAAGAGCGTCACTGAATTGGTAGATCCTTCTCAAGTAGAGTTCAAGACGGAGCCTTATGTTGGTAAGTAGCATGATTAATTGTCAATCGGGTCCCAAAAAAAATAATTGAAAATGCAACTAATGGGTGCGACAGACCTACTATGACTTAACTGTAAATTACAAGATCGTACATTTTATAAATTATTTTATTGGATAGTGATGATACCTTTTCATTTTCTAAAACCGTTTCAAGATTTTCTCTATTGCTCAGGTTGATAGTATTATACAATTATACCCTTATTCTGCACTGTTAGTACTGACTGATTGTGTTCTGACAGCATGGGAAGCAGCAAGGTTGTCATAGGATTACCTATTAAAATCATAATTCCAATGTTTGCACGCTATAACGTCATGTTATTATCATAAGATTTTTGTTAGTCGCAGCATCTATGTAATTTATTTTATATTCCTACGGCGCTTAGGATTGTAAAGCCTAGTGGTAGCTCAACATTGTTAAGTCTACTTTTTTATCTAGATCCCTATAACTGGACGGTGACCATCGAAACCAGAGCAGTCGGTGCCGGAGCAACAGAAGTGATGTGGAAGGGCGTCCCAGCTCCAGCTGAACGCTGGGTGCGGGTCTTCCGAGCTGCTCATGCTTGCATTCCCCCTGGTGGTAGCGATAAACGTGATCTACATGACATGCATGACTTCGATATACAAGGACATGATCACGACAGACATGAGAGGGATGCCTTTAGATTGGCTGCTAGGGACCTGCCACCGGCGATTACAATTTCTGGATTGCTGCCGAATACCAAGTAAGTTAAAATCTTTTACTTTATTTTTCCTCCATTTTAATCGTAATTCAGGAACTAACTTCTAGTTGATGTCATATTTTATTCAACTGGCCAGAGTGCCATGTACTCATTAATTAAAAAATAATAAAGACTGCTAACTAATTGCTCTACGATGTTAAAAATCAAATTTAGTATCGTCGTATCATCATTATTGCTATCTATAAATGAATGAAGTGTACCTTGTATATAATTAAATTTTATTTTGCGAATAGGTGTCGCGTGTGGCTCGAGTTGTTCCTATCAAACGGAAAAGTGAAGACAAGTAATGTTTTGGAGATCAACACTAAATCTTTGGACCATCCAGAACCGGTAGACAGTGAGTATAATTATGTCTTTGAATATTATTCTCACCTCACAGAACAGCGAGAAAACAGTACTGCTAGCATACCTTAGGTTCTATTCCTTTCGATGGCTAGTGTTGAAAGAGCCATAATTGTGAGTAAGTATAGGGTTTGCGTAACAACCTTAGTCTTGCTAATGTCTCTCTTTTCTAAACTATTGCAATAAAAAAGTAGGGTAGGGGTTCTATTTTTGTATATTCATTGCGCCTATGGAAATCAAGTGGCAACATTTTTTATGACTGAGGGGAATAAAAAAGAATCAAATCTTAGAAACTGATCTGTAACAAAACGCATTTTAAGTAGGAATAAAATGAGTAAGCGATGATGATGAGCATGAGAGGGTTTTAAAATTTGAGCTGTCCATGGTGTTGTGCAGAATAAGTGAAAACGATTTCAGACCTATTGGCTAGACCCAGTAGGTTGAGTATTGTATACCTTAATGTACTAAGAGAGAGCTTTAACTTTCTAGATGAGATAGAATCATCGTCATCAGTGTCAGCTCGTCACGGCGACTACTACGGCGCGCTGGTGGGGGTTGGCGCGGTGGCTGCGCTGGGCGCTCTCAGTTCTCTGCTGCTGCTGCTCATCGTACTGCGCAGGCATAGGCCAAGATCTGTGCCCATCACTAGTAAGTCTATCTTTGCATTTTTCAGTTCCTGTTATATTCTCCAGGGTAATCACTTCGCTCTGTTCACTTATTCGGTCTCATAGTGAAAATATTCTAATTTTGCAACGTATATATACGAGTATATAATATGATGTAGAACCGTGAACTATTTATAACTATAACCGTGTGATGACGAATTAAGAATACGGATTGTAACCCAGGGGGAGTTACAATCCGTATTCTTAATCAAACACTGCATCAATCATGCAGTGGCAAATCATGACAACAACACTGCAAAGAGCTGAAAAACTTGAAACAAGCCCTTTACCAACCCGTCTAGCCATCGTAGTATAAAAGGCTGTTGATGATGATGATTATTATTTATACATGTATTATTTTATTTTATTAAGGGTTGGCAATGACCAGCTCAGTGGAACTGTCTATGTATACTCAATATTTCATGATTATTGGTTCAGGTTCATAATTTTAAAAAGAATTATTTTCTTTAACTAAATTACTAAAATTGATTTATAAAAACATACCTGTTTCTATTTAAGTCCGCCTATGTACCCAGTTCATAAAATGTAAATATAATGTAATACAGAATAAAATAGAAAAGAAAATGTAAGTCTAAGTTGAACATTTTATTTAAAGCCGTGCCATCCGCTCCCCGTGAGTCATCTCTCCCACCGTACGATAATCCTGCGTACAAACTAGAGTTACAGCAGGAAACTATGGGTACGTAATAAATCAATTTTTACAAAAATATCAAAAAATATTCGTAGATGTGCATTAAAAAAGAAAACACATATGATGCCACATTTACGAGAAAAGCCGAAAGTTAAAATAAAGTACAATGAAAACCCTTTGTTTTGGCGAAATGTTTGCCTTAGAGTTGGAATTTCCTCAAAAGATTGTCATTAGTGGCTTCACCTTTGCATGGTTGTAGAATGTCGAAAAAAGCTTTTGCTGACGTCATGCTTTTATATATTATTATGGAGACATTTCCTTATTTATTGTGAATGTTGAAAATATCTAGTTATAGCTGTATTAAATGCATGTTTCTACTTTAATTTATATATTCCTTTTAATTCTACAGATCTCTGACAGTTAAGTTCCCGTGGGCACACTAACGGCCTCAACGGGATCTCGGAGCGCGGCGTCGACGTTGACATGCAGAACGGCAAGCCATACAACGAGATGGGTGTTTAAGCCTTACACGCCCATACAGCTGAAAGTACCATATAGTTAGTGTGGAATACTAACAGTAGATCAGCTCCAAACACTATACGCATTGAATATGTTGAAAGCCGTTGATGATACAAACAGGACGCGAAACCTATGATTTAAATGCCGTTTATAACAATGCTATTCCTGACGGTTTAATGACTTTATTCGATGACGAACATATGAACTGATTCATTTGTGAAAACAAAAGAAACATATGGTGTTTATCAATGCAAATGTGTGTGTGTGTAGTGTGACTGTACCAAATTAACTGTAAATGATAGTTATAGTGAAGATGAAGACGACAAATCTATAGTAGAAATATGTATCTTATATTTTAACTTAAGTGTTCTATGCTTAAATATTTAAAAAGCAATTCTCTCGGTGTGTATCGTAGCACTTGCTTTATTAACAGACACAGACGATAAAAAGGTTCGTCAACTTTGCTTCAAAAAATACGGGTGAGAGACAATGCAAAAATATACACTTTTTCATTTTTAGGTACATATTTAGACGAAAAGTGTTAATTTAGTACTCAATTATTGCTTAAGAACGATTTGATCTTTGCAGATTTTTATGTTATCTGTAATCTGTTTTCATAAAAGATTTTCCTCTGTCAAAAATTTGAAAATCGAAAGTAACGTTTCGGTTGTTATGTGAGAATAAATTTATAACAAAACTATTTAAATTCACATTCGATTTATATTTAATGAATATTTCTCTAAAAACAAAAATTAATAAACGTTGTGATATCCGATAAAGGTAAGTCCATGTATTTATAAATTATACACAATATGGTAGATAGAGCAGCTACAATTACTTTATGTTAGTTTGAAGTTCTTATAATTAATTCAAATTTAAGGATAATGTGCTCCATATTTGTACATAGCCTTGTAATAATTTTGTATGTACTTAATTCCAATGTAGGTAGGTACTTGTGTATAGTTGATATAACTAAGATATACAAACTGCCGAGACATTTGTTAATAAAAATAAAATGTTAATACGTAAACGATTTTTCATTACACTTACCTTGTTTATTAGTTATTCTGAATAACTGATACTTTATATTTAAATAACTTATTTAAATATAAAGTATCAGATACAATCTCCTTCTTCTTCCACCACAGGATATGTTTCAAAAATAAAATCTCTTGCATATCCAGTACTTTAACAAAGTAAAAGTCGAAAAAATAACACCTTTTGTTTTATAAAATCGATATCCGTCAACCATAAAGGTTAATCCGTCAGATTAAGAATAAAGGACTAAGGGAGTAAACTACGCAGAACAACCACACTGCAAAGAGAAGGAAAACTTGAAACGAACCCTTTTTTTTTTTTTTTTTTTTAACGTGTATAAATCCCCTCGGACCGTCACCCCTCCGGGGTTTGCGGCGGGGTGGTGTGTCGGACTCGGACCGACTAAAACCACACGGTGTGCCACTCTGCGCCTGTAACAGGAGGGATCCGGGAACAGCTGTTGTTAAGACATCCGGACCCCTCCTAGCGCCAGCCCGCTCCTGGTGCGGGCTCCGTCTCAATATATTTTCCTCTCTTTAGGCGACGTCCGGCACACGCGGACGCCGCCCCCTCGCGGCTGGCCAAACTAATGCGGGTGGAGGGGAAACCCACCCCGTCCACCCGCGGCCACACTCAGGGCGGCATGAGTCTGTGATAGGCGGGCCTCCGCCGCCCGGTTCGCCGGTGCGAGTGGAGGTCGTCCTCCTGGGCCCTCTCCGCCGCCTCCTTCCGCGAGATTACTACCTCGCAGAAGGTTGCGACCGCGATAAAACAACTGTCGCTACCGGCCATGGAGCGTACTACGGCCGGTAGCGAGAGATCCACTCCGATGACTGCAGTGAGGGCCCGGCGCTGCGCCGCCCATGCGGGGCAGACCGCCAGCGTGTGCTGGGCCGAGTCCTCACTGCAGTCGCAGTGGTGGCAGGCGGGACTCAGTTCCCTCCTAGCGACCGAGTGCAGGTACTTTCCGAAGCAACCGTGCCCGGAAAGCACCTGCGTCAGCCGGAAGGAAAGGGTCCCGTGCTGCCGCCCTGCCCACTCGGCGATGACCGGCTGGAGAGCCTCCACGGCGGCGAAGCCAGCGCGTGGAGTCTCCAGCCGGAACGACCAACAAGCCATCGTGGCTCGGCGAGCGGCTTCGCGCCACTCGCGCACATCCTCGGGCGGAGGGCGAAATCCGCTCTCCGCCCGGTAGTCAGCCACTCGCCGATAAACTTCGGCGAGCACTTCCGCCTCCAAATCCCACGGGGGAGTTCCGGCCAACGCGCATGCCACCTCCGTCGAAACGGTGCGGTAACCGCGTATGGCTCTGACCGCCATTACCCTCTGAGGGCGCCAGAGGCGTACCCTATTCTGGGCGGTCAGAGCCGCCGCCCACACCGGTGCACCGTACAGTGCCATTGACCGGACAACCCCCGTGTACAGCCGTCTTGTCGCGACGCTGGGTCCACCCATATTGGGCAAAAGTCGCCCTAGGGCAGACGCAGCGCCGACCAGCTTTGGAGCAAGCTGTCGGAAGTGCTCGTCGAAGAGCAACCTCCCGTCGAGGATCAGGCCCAGATATTTCATCTGGGCCCGAACCGGTACGAGGACCGAGTTGACTCCGTCTTATCTAGGGCCACCCGTAAGCCCAGCGCCTCAATGCGCCCGACCACCAGGGAGACTCCCCCTGTGGCCAGGCGCGCCGCCTCTTGGAAGTTTGCCCCCCGGGCTGTCACCAGGGTATCGTCTGCGTAACAGATTACACCCAGTCCGGGGGGGAAATCGGCGCGAAGGGCCCAGTCGTACCCTATGTTCCACAAGAGGGGTCCAAGAACAGACCCCTGTGGAACACCGCACGACATGGGCCGACACCTCAGATTACCTTCTCGGTCCTCGTACACGACGGTACGCTCCTCTAAATAGTCTGCCACTAGCCGCCTCAGGTACTTTGGCACCCCATGATAGTGGAGTGCTTCCCTGATGCAGCTGAATGGCAGACTATTGAATGCGTTGGCGATGTCTAATGACACCGCCAACAGCACGCCGCCACAGCTCACGGCCTCTTCGGTCACGGCCCTCAGGCGCAACACGGCGTCGACTGTCGAACGCCCCGCCCGAAAACCAAATTGGGCGTCTGACAGATCGGGGCCCACCTCGCAGAGGTGCCGGACGATGCGGGCAGAAAGAACCCTCTCAAACAATTTACCCGCCTCGTCCAGCAGCACGATGGGCCTATAGGCCGCGACCGAATCGGCAGGCCGTCCCGGCTTCCTCAATAGGACCAGCTTCCCGCTCTTCCAGCACTCAGGGAAGCGTCCCGACGCCAAGCTAGCGTCGAACACCTACCCGAGGCGGTCTGCCATGTGGTTGAGGGCCAGGGCCAGCACTCGGGCCGGTACCCCGTCTGGCCCAGGGGCGGTGCTCTTGGAACGGATCCGTAGAACAGCCGCCCCCACCTCCGAATCCCGGACGGGCGGAACATTATCCTCCCCGTGCTCCAACCCTATATCAACCCGTCTGGCCAGCGTGGTATAGTAGGTCAAAACCTCCTTTCTGCGGAGAGGCCTATGTACAGCAGTGGACTAGTAAAGGCTGTTGATGATAAAGATCTAGCTTTAATTTGGACATGGTCAATTGTTGTTACGATGCGAGTGTAAAGGTTTCAAAGGAAAACAAAAAAAAAAAAACTAGAAACTGTTTCGTGACATAAGACTGCCAGGTACAATCAGAGAAAAAACCTTAAAAGGGAAAGGATGATCGATTACAAAAACGTCATTTAATTCAAATACAACACCAAATCACATTATATTTTCTATAATAGTAATACATAATATATTTTTTCTTTATATGATTTTTGTTAATGTGGTAACCATTATCCTAACGACTTTGTAGTAAACCTACTGTTCTGCCCATTAAACTATAAATATAAAATACACAATGTATGTTGGTTATTATTATGGAAGTGAAAACGACTAAAATATTTATTTAATTAATAATTTTATTATTTAAGAAAATAGACGCAAAGAGGATGAGATAAATAACTATTTTAAGTTTTTGTGGGCCCCAAAAGGAAGTTTATTAATTATGTCGTCAATATAAATAGCTTTATTATATCTTACTCATATAACGATAATTCTCTAATATACTCTTTGTAAATATACTAACGCATGTACCTTTCGATACGATGTATTATTCAACACAAAATTATTCAAATGAGCTTCATTTAGCTGGGTTAAATTAAGGCCATTTGAATTTAATTCAAAACTAACTAACGCAAACATTGAATTTATTTTTATTTCAATAAAACCTGTTGAACTACCCATTCTTAAACAGAAGACATGAAACGTAACATCTGACGGCAGAATAAAAGAAATGTCTACTTGTATTTTATAGAAAATCACATCAACAAAATGGACTTCGTAACTTTAAAATAAAACATTTGATACTTCAAATTTAGTACATTATGAGGTTACCTGATATGTCCATCTGTCTACGTAATTTTTAGATATATTTAAAGGCTGAACAAAATTTATAATAGTATTTCAACCCATTCTACGTTGAAATTCGATATAAAAATAATGTCATTTAGTTTTTTAGTTTAGGGAGTAAATGTATTAATTCTATTCTTAATACTTTTGATCTTTATTATACTTGACTACATTTTTATTTATTTCTTTTAGTTTACTTTATGCAAATATTTTTTAAGTAACGACCCATGAACTACATTAAGTAAATTAATTCTAATAAATAAATAATATTAAAAAGTAATATTACTAATTGAAGCAAACACATAATATAAAAATATTAAACACAAGACGTAAATATTTTTATTACAATATTTAGTACAGTCAACAAAATAGGTACCCAGCGCTCACAAATTCCTGATTTAGTAACACACTTTTCTAAAATTCCTTAAATTGTTTTATAAAAACATCAAAATGGTGATTAGACATACATTAAAAGCAATAAATAGTAAAACTAAGGACAGGAATTAATCCAACCTATTAATTCCTATAAACACATGTTACATAAATAAAACTGTTCATTTTTGTCGGCACTTCTATTTAGCTAGATTTTTTACAACGGTAACAGTATTCATGAAATGCTTCTTTCTTTTTAAATAAGAAAAATAGATCATTGGTCAATGCACAGTGCTATTGAGAAATCGAATGTTTATTTGTGTAGTTTCCGTTTACTAGAAAAGATACACGTCTAACAATCATTTGAAGAGAATTGAGCATTTGTCCAGACGGTATACAAAAGTATACAAGTCTTGACAAAGGCATTATTTGCAGCAGACATAACATTTGTAGCTGGCAACATTAGTTAGGAAGAGAAGAGTAGAGGAAGAAGAAATAAATTTAGTATTGATTTGTTTGTTTTTAGGTGTAAATGTTACGTCTGCATCAATTGTTAGTAGTTTCGTGTTTGCTGGCTAAGGGGTTGTACTTCTTATACCCATATTGCTGTATAAATATAAATCTCACAAAAAACATTGTTCTTGATTAGCAGACCTACATACTGAGACTACACAAGTCAGCGCCAGTCCCTTGTATTTAGATTATAAAATATTCAAGAGTGAACACGTTTACATATATATTTCCTTTTAGAACATATTATGGATTTTAAATCATATTTCTGGATTTTAAGTCAACAGTAAGTTAAAAATCAAATTAATCTATTATCAAATTACGATTGTGAGACCTTGGCCAGCAAACTTCAGCGGGTCCATTAATCGCTTAAGCCTTCCTCGTGCGCTTTCTTCACGACGGCGAGCTTGGAGTGCGGGTCCTGCGGCTGCAGTCCCGCGTAGGGCGGGGTGCGCGTGCCGTGCAGCACCAGCGACCAGCCGCGGAAGAAGCCGGACCAGTCGGACGGGTTGTTGCCGCCGTTGTAGCGGGCCTAAACATTCATATTTTAACATCAGATCATTCAGTGCAAACGCTAATCGTCTTGAAATCAGGACTTAATGGCAGTATTACGAAATTTATAAGGTATTACATCATTTACACGATGTTTTGATCATACTCACGACCAATCGTGGTCAGTCTTTAATCAAGATTCGGGCAATTTGTTCGCAATATAGGGTAATAGCAAAGTTATTTGGCATCAACTATTGAGCCAAGACAAATACAAGAGGTTTATTGGTACATTCTGGAATTTTTAGTAGAGTAGGGTTAGGTGAGTAAGGAAAGTTCAAATCGATTTAAATATATATTTTTAGAACAATTCAGTTACTTATTTCATTCTGATTAATTAGAACTTAACAAGTATTATTAGGAACTGGTAAGATCGTGACTCTTGTGTTCGCCTGTCCTGTTATAGTTTATTGCATATATTTTTTTATTTACTGCTCAATCTTTTTAAAAACAAATGTTTATATATTATAAAACAAAAACAAAAAAAAAAACATTTTTTTTTACACAAAATTTGATACCTCTAAGGTCCATGTGCCCTGTGGAGACTCTCCCCACGTGTGCGTAGTCATGAATGGCCATTTGGTAAAACCGTCCCTGGAATCGTCGTCATTTGCCCTCCGGCTGAGTATCATCGACCTGGAACATCAAATGAGCCTAAGTTATAATTACATATCGGATTATTTTCACAAACAAAGAGTCAAAATATATTCTATGATTATTAAAAACGCCACAATATGTAAAGAAAGAAAGCAAGAGCATATTTATTTAGTGTGGAAACCCACACAGATCATCTAACCTCACCAGAGCTGAGGGTTAAGTAACATGTCGGACTAGTACTTACTAAAACCACATGGTGTTCCGTTACAAATGAGTCTATTAGAGGGGACCCAGCACACCCTAACAAGAAAGCCACTGAGAGCGAAATAGCCCTAAAAGTAAGCATAGATCTTGTGACATTCTATTTACATATTTATTTTTAATTATTCAAAACTGTTACTTTTTTATGATATATTTTAAAAATTAATTTCTAAGCCAAAACATCCTCTCTGCATTGGGCAGCACTCAATTTAATTTTAAGGTAGTTTACTAGTACTGGTTTGTTCTACACAAATCTTTGTAAGTCATTTACTGGGTACAAAATATTTGATAAGTATAAACTACATCGTACTTAGTGCCCATTGGACTGGTGAGGAACAGTTCTAGATCTCCCCGTCTACTCGCGTTGGCGCTGACCACTGCTTGCACGTGTTCTAAGTAACGAACTTCGCTAGGCGTGCCGGCACACGCTGTTGTCTCGATTCGTAACGTTAGAGTACCTTCTGAGGGAACTTCTCTGTAAATAGCAACGATATATAAAAGTAAATTAAAGTTTCTTTCAATATCACTCGTAAATATTCATTAATAGGTTATTGTTGTGTTTGTTTAAGTGTCACAATGGATTACTACAGCAGCAAAACTTAGGTCGTTGTGTTTTTTATGGAACAGAGAGCAAACGTATGTATACTTTAAGCAAGTTTACCAAAATGAAGGTTTACAAATTGAAAAAATGAAGATTTTAATAAGATAATGATGTTAGCTTTGAGTAAAAAAATCTTTAAGCACATATTTTTATGGAACTTCGTGCTTATAATCGGTGACCAAAATTTTATAAAATATCGTACTCACGTATGAGTAGTAACCGATCCAGCTTCACAGTGGTACCGTGGTGGCACTGTATGCCATTTAGCCGCTAAAGCCGTCATCGCACCTGCGTCCAGCACACCGAATCCAAACAGATGATTGAACTCCAGACCCACGCCATTCATTGTCCAGTGAAACCGACCCTGGAATATCGTAAATTATTGTTATTGATATAAACTCGTAATGTATCCGCTTAAACTATTATGCTTTTTTTCGTATTCCCACACCAGGAAATGCATTGATTATTAATTTCCATATCAATTTTAAAGATTTCCTTGTTTATCCGGGACGATTTAAAAAAAAATACAGGTATTCCATTAACATCCTTAATTATTCATTTTTAGCTTAAATACTTTACCCTTCTCTTTCATGATCTAATCTTTAGTGGTTAATTAGAAAGTACAATTTAATGTTTTCAAAATAAGTTTTCGATAATTGTTAGCAATTCACGATATTTTTATATGCAACTACATATTGAAAGTTTGTCTTAGTACATAGGTCTAGTATAGTTTGCAGTCTAGACGAGATTGCCAATATTGTGTTATTAGCCTAGCTCAAAAGACTCATTTATTACTCTCCCCGTCTAGAACAATAGACGATAACTATTCTTTTGTTGTTGTTTCTTAAACAATAATGGTAAATCAACTCGAATATTAATAAAAAAACAGAATATGATTTTGATTTAAAACTTTGATTTAAAATTTAAAGTATAATTTTTAATTTCTATCAACTTTTTAAGACCAAATAAAACTTTTAGGTACTTTTATCCGAATTTAAATAAAACAAAAATGGTTTTAACTCTGAATAATATGATTTAAAAGAAACAAAATTATTCTAAAATTACTGCGTATAACTTAAATGTGGCTGACATAGCGTAATCCCTGTTTTTTTTAAATATTTAAATATTTTAAATATTTGATACAGTACAGTACAGTACAGGGTATAAACTTTCACACGTTATGTAGGAATTATATAAGGGTCTCCAGAGCATAAAGTACGAGACAGTTCGCAGACTGCATAATCGACTAAGGCTGACTATGGAATTATCTGATTTTATTTTAGTCTTACATCTTTGTCAAGATATGACATTGACATAATTAGATAAGAAATGATAAGAAAGTATTAGCATGAAAAAGTAATTAAAGTACTCATTTTATTCTAGTTTAGCTTAGATTTGTATTTGGTAGAAGAAGAACGTAGAGGTAAGAACAAGATTAAATTCATTTTTAAATCACTGTAATTCTTTGTAAAATCTATAGTTCGTGGCTTATTAGGTAAGAAATTTAAAAAATCGTAAAATAACTTTGTACAGAATGTTAGAACTAAAAAACTAAGCAAATACATTCTGTCATTTTTTCCTTACCTTAGCATCGTATAAGGAATTTCTTTTTGATGTTAGCACTGTCAAGTGCTGTATATCTCTCCATGTCAAACTAGGGCTGCAAAAGAAACAAAACTAGATAAAATTAACATCTATACTAACAGTAATAATCTTCATAATCTATTTGTCTAAACAAAGCAGTCATTTCACAGGTTTCACTCTATAACTACTAAAGTTTCTAACACTATAACTACTAAAGTCTTACACAAACGGCACTTTTATGATATAAAAGTGCTGTTTATATACGTAGACACATTTAATAAGTATTATCGCCCGACAAGAGCTCAACCAACCCCCAGGTAATAGTCTATCCACTTTGAAAGATAAACAGTTCAATACATCTATATTCCTGTCCGATCTAACAGCACCAGTAAAGGTAAAACGCTATAAATTGTGTTCACGAGACATGAACGTGTTAAGTGATATCTACTTCAGTTTATAACATTGGAACTAAAAGTAGAAAATAACATTTTCTTTCTTTTTATTGATTCTTTGTGACTGGGAACTTTACAAACATGTATGAAACGGATACAAAGAACATCCAGATTCAGAACAACAATTTGTGGACACAAAATGTTGTCCCATGTGGGTATCGAATCCACAACACTCAGCGTAGTAGGCAGCACCGAAGTGGCCGCTTAACCGTCCGCTTTACAATATAGTGAAATTTGTGTAAGTAAAAAAAGTTTGCAGTGATTAACTAAAAGTTTTATTTCACGCGTGACAACAATTTATGCACATAAGTATGGCTGTACGTAACATATTTGGCAGCTCATGAGTGTCATGATCCCCCTAAGCCCAGATTATCCAGCACTGATAAATTACTTCACAAAATTTGTTATTGATTTTTTGTATGTAATGTTTTATTGATTGTTTGCCTGTGTCTATATAGTGAGTGTTTGTGTAGGTGGAAGTTAACGTAAAATTAAAAAATGATATATCTTTTTAAAAGCACGAACACTTGACATTGGAATACGTCGTAATGAAATTAAGTTTTAATGTGTAGTTACCCTGATTGATATAAAATAACATAGTAGTACTCAATATTGCAGCATACCGCAGCATGCAGCGTCTGTTTGAAAGAGATTAAATTAAAAAAAGCTGCTTACTTAGCGTGTAATGCTAAGGCAAATACGCCAGCTGCCTCAGGTGCCGCGGCCGATGTTCCGGAGTGTGTTGCAGTACATTTTCCATACAAATCCGTTGTTGCCACCCCTGTGCTGGGTTCCCTGGCTCCATTACTAAAGGTACTGGCTAGTGTTGAGGAGCAGGACTCATCGTAGTGTGCGTTCTGGCCGTCATTGATGGCACTGTTAACAAATCAATCACTTTTTATTTATTTTAGTCTGCGTTAAAATTATGCCTTTTTACATACATACATTTACACATGACATCTTTTATCCCCAAATGGTTAAACAGATACGTATTCAACGCCAACATTTAGCCAACTAGAATTGGCGTCAACCCGGTACATATACTTCTAAATAAACATACTTATAAATTTCTAAATACGTACATATATTGTAGATAAATTACACGTAGATACAAAACAATTGATCGTGCTCACATAATATTAGTCTTCGGTGGGAATCGAACTTACGGGCTCTAGGCAGTGAGAATCGCTAACTGCTAGACCAACATGCTGGTCGTTTGCCTCTCTCGTTGACTCTCTATTTTTCCATAACCCTTTGTAGTTTCTCATTGTCTTTCTTTCCGTTTTTCATCCGCAACATAACTTAGGGGTTTTAAGGACTAGAAAGTTGATTTTACATTTTGTATAAACTGCAAGCGAAAGGGACCTCAAAAACATTCAAGATCATAGTATATATAACGGACTTAGAAGGAAAAATATTGTGGCTAACTTAGATTTGGTAATGGTAACGGTAATGCTAAAAGGCTTTATTTCAACATTTAGACTCATAGGCGGACCGTTATGCGTTGGAATAAGGCTATCACGCCAGTTAGGCTGCTACCAAAAGTACAGAAGCCTCCTGGAGCGTTCACAAGCTTCTACGGGCGTACCTCGTACAATGTTCCTTAGGTGACGTAGGTGTGCAAAATGGTGGTTGAAAATGTATATGAAACTTAGTTATGTTTGGTGGTATGGTTTTCAAACTCACAGTAAATACTCTACATTAAAAGTAATAAAAAGTGTTGATACAATTTTTTCAAATCTGCCCTTAAAAACGGGTGCAATATCGGAACTATCTTTCTTTAACTTATCGATTTGAAACTCTTAGTATAATCACGAGTATATTCTCTATAAAAAATTAGATACCTTTTTTTATAAATGGTAGAAACAAACTTTGAGTAAATCAGCCAGTTAGTTTGTATAATCGTGATTCATTGTATCCTCTAAGATGTCTGATTTCGACAACCACGCGGACGAATTCGCAGGCAAAAGCTAGTTCTTAATAAAAACTGCCTAAAACCTAAACTAAAACCTATTGATTGAATGTCCTATATTACCCAAGAAACTATTTTTCTGCAGGTAACACTATGCTTTTTAAAAGAGCAAGTAAAGGCACAGAAACAAAAAAAAAACAAGTATGGATTCCACCGCCTAAATATTATGGCACGACCGTATTTTTTTTATTTTGTGCTTACATTTTAAGTGGTACGTATGAAGATTAAATTAACAGTTTTGTGTAAATTTAATTAAGGCTCTCCTAATAATAATTACTACACAATGTTGATGAGAAATGCCTTAGAAGCACCGTCAGCACTTAGATGTTGAATGTATTACAAATAGGTTTAATTATAAACGTACTTGACTCGTGTTGGGTTTGATAATATTATTATGTTAAGTAGGTTTGTAACAACAATTATTATAACGTTTAGGGATAAAGTGTAACCTCAAATTAATTAACGATATAATATACATTAACAATCTATAGTAAAATATTTGAATGTTACTTAGATGTAATAGCGAATACTGGTAATTCTTGGGTTTCACTCATCTTTGCTAGCTTCAACTATAATTATTGTATGTTTTCTTTAGTTATGTCGTAACTCACATAAAAGACAAATAAGTAAGGGTACGACCTCATAAGCCGGTGTCTTCCGATATTACCTGAGCAGTTTTTCATTGTTTTTCACCGAGTGAGACAAGTTAGCCCAAGCACAACTGTGCTGCCTCTTATACCTAATTCTAAGCACTCAAATATCTGATTATAATATTGTCCTCATACAACCATGTTGATAAATAAAACCACCGCTCATAGTTCATAGAGAATTATTTCAAACCCACTGATTCTGCAACGGGCTTTAGAAGTTCTCTCAGTGGGTACATTTATATACATATGATCTACATGTTACTCAACATTTGAACATCAAACATTCCTTTGTGTTGAAGAACTATCCCCCTCCCCTTTCTTTAACAAGAATGTCTAGTAACTACATTATTATTATCATTTATAGTACAGGCTCTGCCTAGTTTGGGATCAGAAGGTCGTGTGTGAGATGTGTGTGGTTATTATTAATATTTAGAAACCCCGTTTAACGTTTTTCGAAGTTTAGGTAGTGCCGTGCCTAAGGGGGTAGGATTAAGTTTTTTTTAATTAATTTTAATTAATTTAAACACAAATGATTTAAATCTTAAAGTTAAATGAAACTTTAGTTATTCCGATCATATGGGTATCAGATTTTTTTCATTATTTTTATTTTAGAATTTTTTTTTAAACTATATAAAAACTTCAGGATGGCATGATATAATACATTGCATTTATTGTAGGAGCTATGCTGTTTTTTTACCAAAGTCCAAGTAGGTAATGTAATTAGGTAAGTAAGTAATTAGCAAAGCTTGTATTTCTTTAGACGACTATTTCAATTAAGCTAATTAGCGAATTCATCCGTTAATCCAAGTTCTTCTTCAATTAACTTACGAGTAACTAAGGCGTAGCTAAGAAAAGTTAATTACGTACCTGCCTACCTTTTTTTTAGTAGGCGTTTCGAAAAGACAAATTTACATGCTTAGTTGTTTCTTTTGAAATAACGAAACCCTAATTGGTTTCGGTTTAAATGTTAATTTAGTTTCTTAAATTCGTCACTTAACTAAACTCTTACATAACTAAACTTGTTACCAAGTTAGGGTTCCCCCAAGTCTACGTCGGTTTTTCAGGGAATTAAGGGCCAATAGGCAAGACACATCAGCTAACAAAGGATTTTACGACAGGAATTGGTTAGGTACGTATAAAAGTTCATAAAAATTCTGAAATTTGGCGTCATGTGAGTACATAACAAAAGTAGCGAAAGAGCTAAATTTATAAAGTATAACCACTCTCGCATATTTTAAAGTAGGACTCTTTGACTACCTGAATTGATAATTGTACTTTTAAGCTTCCACGCTCATATTTCTAGTAACGCGAGAATTAACACAATTACTTATTAATTGGTTTGCAAGACATTTCCACCAGATAGCTCTGGCCTTGTATAAAGCCTGTTAACACAAGGATATTCTACAATTAAATTTTTGGCAGAAAAAGACCCTTTGTAATATATCTTCGTCAACATAGCCAAGTTTAGATATTCCTTGTTTATTTTAATAATTAACAAACAATTTGGAGTTGGGCAACTAGGGCAAGCTAAGCAGGTTTAATTTATGTATCCTTGTATCCGTCTAAATGTATTGTGGTTCGTCGCCGTTTAAAACGAGAAAATGACTGTTTAATGATTTTATGTGCGTAGTTAACAATATATCACGTTTGTTGTAAATTGGTATATTATTTTAAGCTTGTAAAGAGTTGTTACTTCTAGTACTTATTGTCATCATCATCATCGACAGCAGTGCTGCCAACCTGAATTTTAGAAAATTAGTAGATTATGTGCCAAATGTTGGTAGAAGTTGGTAGAATGTAAAATGCAAAATTGGTAGATCTACCACCTCAATTTAGAAGATTTTTCGATGATCGATGAAGAGATTAAAAATGCATAAACTGTTCTTAAAATGTTTATTTTTGGCAATTATACATATTTTTATTGAAAAATTTCTGCGCTAGGCTACAGCGGCTCCTAAAAAACAAGCCATTCTTATTTCTCCAAATTTGATTTTTATCCTCAAATGACTTTTTGACTGAGTTTGCCCAAACTGGGTGATTGATAGTTGACTTGCTATACCCGAAAACAAGTAGTTAACTTTTTAAAAGATTGGTGTTTTAAATATTTAAAAAATAGATAAAACGAAATTCGACGCGAACAGACTGTTAGCGACTCTGAAGATATGAGAAGAACCATTCTAGTGTATCGGATTTAAAATATATACATGCATAATCATAGGCAATCAATGATAAATTTATTGATTGTTAGTAATTTCGTTTGTAAAATTAATTATTCAATATTAATTCAACTAAACTGAGCATAAAACCACGGAATAGATGTTCACCTTTCACACATGCTACATGCTTTAAACTATTTGCATGTTTATTTAGGATAAATCTTCCACCAGCACACTTAAGATCACACCTACATGATTTACAATAAAAATATTCTTCACCCTTGGTACTTTCTTGAAGCCAACTACAAGGTACAAGGAATTTGCCTTGTCTTTCTCCCATAATTTCGAATATTTTTGGTCATAGTGCTTTTTTCTAGCTTTTCGTGGCGGAGTTCCTAACCTAGAACTCTGTGCATCGTTTTCGCTGCTGTCAGAATCCATTATATAAATAAATGCACGCAACACAGAACAAACAACAATCAGCACCGTTAATACGTAGTTATTTAGTTTTAACAACAAAAGAACACAAAACAGGAACAAAGATTCACCATTGATTCACTCCCCTACATTTGAAAGGAAATAGTTGATGGCTTACACCGCAACGGAAGATGCACAAACGCTCTCAACAAAAACATGCAACATACTATTTTGTTAATCACAAACTCATTTAAATTACTTTAAGTATGCTCTCCACTATGATGCCTTTGCCGAAGAGTAAAAGTGCAATTTGCGGCTTTTAAATTACTCTTGTGGAACATGACAATATATGGCAGTTTGTAAAATTTCAAGTATTGATTTCATGCGTATTTAAGGCTTGGGGATTTTAATAGGGCTATGATATTCCAACTAAAAATTAAAAGAAACTAGATTTCACGTAAAAAGACGACTTTATATGACCTATAAATATCTCTTAACAAAGAAAAAGAACTCAGATTACCTAATGTTTTCATCGATCTTCAAAGAGCCCAATACCCATTTCTCACTCACACACGTGTTGGAAGTTTTATTTATTTTATTTTGTTGTTTAGTTTGTCCTTTTAGAGAAATCATGTATTTATTTTCATTAAATTAAAAAAAATCAAAATCACATATAAAACTTGGAAATCTGGTGATCTATAATTCAGGATCAACCTACTTCAGACACCAGATCCTCACGTGTTCTAGGCTGCACAATAAATATCCTCAGTGTAGGTAGTTCACTATTTTGTGCATAAGCGAGTCTTTATTATGAGAAGAAATAAATAACCGTATTATTTATAAATATATATATATCTAATTATAAAAATGGTAAATTGGTTTGTGTATGCTTCAAAACCTTAAAAAGTTCTGTACCGATTGAACACTTATTTTGACATGATATACAAATCGCTTCAAGGATGGTTTTTATCTATCTTTCGCGTCAATTTTGTTTCTCATTTCACATCAATGCAATTCTAATGTGCCACAGCGAAGTGTTGCCGGGTACAACTAGTGTAGGTATAGTTTCTTTAATTTTTTGTACTAGTCTTACTACTGGTAAATTAACAGTTTATGACCAATACTTACGGAAGAATGAGCCTTACCTGTTGATGGACACTGTCCACATAGATGCGGCATACCCATCACAGTTACAGTCATCATCTTCACCACCGTCACCGCTCGCCCACACGTAGATATTTCCAAGACCATTGCGTCCCTGAGAAAGAGTAAAGCTGCTTTTAATATGTGATTACTATTTTGAAAGAAATATGTGAAATCCATTTTAGTATGATTTTTTTATGACAGTATGAAAACGCTTTCACATTTATTCGGAGTTATGTTTTTTTAGATTCGCAGTTTGTAGATTTTTATATCGAATTATAATATGAAAACTTCACACATCTCACACACAGCCGTCTGATCCCAGACTAGGCAGCGCCTGTACTATAGCAACCAGACTCCTGATAAACATACTTGTATACTTCTAAATACATGCACATTATAGATAAATTACACCCGGATACAGAATAAATGATATTTATTTTATTCTTTTTGCACAAACAACAATTCATTGTACAATGACCTACTTAATGCCACAGGCATTTTCTCCCAGTCTACCTTTGGCTGGAGGGGAAATTTCTGAGTAGGTGCAGTAGAAATTAAGTTTTGTATGTAACAAGTATATTAATTAAGGATATGGACAGAAACAGTGTGACAGATATACATACATACTGAGATACACATAATACACTATATAAAAATTTAGAGATCTGATGAATCTGCTAGTGTCGAGAATTCGAGTTCGGACTTTCGTCTTAAATAAGAGGCGGCTGGGTGCTATCCTAATTTCCAGAGGTGGAACGTTCCAGGGGAGGACAGATTGGATTAGGAGCGAAGAGTGGACACATGTGGAAGTATGAGTGGGGCATTACAGAAGTGGATTGTTTGAGGAACGGAGGGTTGTGATTGGAACATAGAAATTGAAATGAGGATGTCAGGTAGGAAGGGGAAATAGGTGAGTTAAGTATGGAATAGAGGGCGGTGAGGACGTGCAGCTGACGGCGCTGACGACTTGCGAGCGATAGAAGGCCCGTAGCGTATGCCATCTGAGCTTGGAGTCGATAAATCTTAATAGAGGGACTGAAGGAAATGACTACGCCGTTATAAGTAATGAGTGGCAGTTTGTCTTGATCCATCCTTCCAGTCATGCGCTGACTGCCTATGAAGATGGCTTGCACTTGGCTATGGCAGCGTTTAGAGTTACGTACCATCAGGTTAAACCGATTTTTCGCAACTTTATATATGATCGTGCTCAGCACATAATTATTTGTCCTGGGTGGGAATCGAACTCACGACCTTTGGTTCAGCAGTCAGGATCACTATTTCGCCTATTTAACAGTAAATTAGTAATTATTTTGTTGTATATAGCTACCATTCCCTACATAACAATTTAAAAAATACTAGATTTTCTGTTAAATAGCGTTTAACCTACCCTAGCTACCCTTGCCTACGTACGCAAAAATCGAAAGATGAATCACAGTTCACTGTAATTTTGTCCCATGTCTACTAAAGACACAGGTGCGTTACCGCTCTTTAAGTGCCCCCTTCCCCCCATAATGTTCAATTTTCAATAAAAAAAATTTTAAAAGAAAATGGAATATCCTTATCATGTCATCGAATTTGTCTTCGATGATTTCAAATGTGCAACTTGATTTCGAGCACTTTCTTAATAGACAAGTGGTTCATCAAGCATGTTGTATCGTTCTCCTAATACACTAACGTACCATGCCCATTCTCATGCTTACCTCTCTCATATTAACATCACTTAATATTAATATTGGCTTTTAGAAAACTCAAACTCAAATTACAAAAAACGAAAATCAACCACTTAATAAACTAATATGCCTAAATCAATTATAAATATAATGTTTAAAATAGGTTCAAAAATTATGAAGATATCGTGTAACACAACACAACGTCGTATGTAACGTAGTAATAACAGCAATTTTCAGTTTAGTTGAGAAACTCCTATTTCTTTAAGTGGGTTAAGAAGAAATTAAAAAGGAAAAGAGTTTTTATGGCCACATAGCCATATTATATGTATTATAAATATCGAAGCAATGAGAGAACCTTTTGAATGAATTTATCTCAAAAGAAAAATAATATAAAATGAGTTACTTGAGGCACCAACATGAAGATGAAAGATTATATTCGCTTTATTTGTTTATTTTACATTGACTAACAACATTTCGGAGAAAAATAATTCTGCCAGGGGTTGGACTGGTACGTCAATGTCAATTAACTTAGAAGAAAATACTCAAAGGGATTATTTTCTGCTTTTAAATTCAAATTTGTTTATTTAAAGATGTTTTCAAATGATTCACATAGTTCTATATTTGTTTGCCTTTTTGTGAGGCATTTTATGAATACTTTATAGAACAATTATTAAAAAAAATTGGTTGCCTGTAAAGTCGGTATACGGGCGAAAGTTTTACGTGACAACGACTATGTCTGTCTCTCTCGCTCTTAGGCGGGCTAACCATGCCCGATTGGAAGGGACGCGTGCCTCTCACTTGCTCTCATTGTGAGCGCATAACGTGAGCGGAGCGTAACGCAGTTTCTTGAAGTGTCACCCGGCAAACCAATTTATAAGACGTTGTCACGTCAAAATTAAAAAATTCCTAGATCTATTTTTATTTGTATATTCGTTTTGTTTTATACACTTTTTGTAGTTATTTATCTTCACGATTTCGTACTTGAACTTTTTATTTAAATATACTATTTGGAGACAATTCTAGTTTTTTTATTTAATACACTCATGTCACATTTTAATCAACTCCACTTTCAATAATTGCTAAATGGTATAAATAAAAACAAAAGCGTATGTGAGCCAAGCCTTGTCTTTAATCCGACTGCGCCAGGAGGGTTATGATTACAAGTTTATGTATATATAATATATATACCTATCTTTATGTATATTTCTATGGCAGGCTCTGCAGCCTGATGGATTTTGACTTTTGAGATGTCGCTTGATACATCTTAATTGTGAGAGTAGTAGTAGCATCGAATATCTAGTAATACGAGATTAGATTCGCCAAACTTCCATCGGGTTTGTGACTACTAGTGGCACCATACGTTACGAATTTTTATGAATACCGCAGCCGCATATTTTAAGTCATTTGAATAAAAACATTGTATTGAGGTCTGGACCAAGCCACATTACATATGGCAGTAAATATATAACGAGGTTCTAGACTGACGTTCAATATAAACGGAAAAACATTTCCCTTTGGCTTTCACTTCACAAATATTCAATGTAGCTACTGTATTAGAAATAGATCCATCCCCGCCTTCTGACATTGAAAGGCATCCTTCACCTTAATATGAGCGAGATAAAAGTTTATTCATGGACGAGGTAAATATCATTAGTGACGGAAATAATGAAATTATAAGTACTTTTTAAAATTATTGTTTGTTGATTTTGCCTTATCAAAAATGATACCACAATAAATAAATTTTAAATGGATTTATTCTTAAATGAATTCTCGTCGTATATAATGACAGTTTTAAAAAAGTTATAAATATTTCAAAGTTAACGCTTATACACTACACTTTTTATGATATTAAAGTAATTTATTGTTGTTTTTTTGCAAGTTTTGCTCTTACTCAGTAATGTCTTAGGTAGTATTTATTTAGATAATATTTAAAATATAACACAGTCCTCTACAATTATAACTTTTACATATTATAAAATTACTTTATTCATGATCGCTACAAGCCAATCACAGGTGCAGATGCAGATGAACTAGAAATCTGTATTACTTTTTATGGACTAGTAATAATTACTAAAGAATTTTTCTAAACTATTCAACAGTAAAATGTTTAGTAAAGAACTCGAAAAGGAGACTCATGAGAGTAGAGTATGCAAAACATGCATCTTTAATCCTTTCTCATTCGCAAAGCCATAGAAATGGCAGCTGATAAATGGGAGTTTAAATACGTGGCTGTATTGCTGTGCACAACTTAACACAAAACAATCGACATTTCACCAGATACAGGCTGTCGGTCCCGACGCTTTAAAGGGTTAGATATGTTTATCCGCTCTCGGTCTATTCGACCTTCTCTTTTGTAAACCTAAGCTAAAGGGGGTGGTGGACAGTCTCGTTTACAATGATGACTGTCATATTTATTTACAAATTGTCACCAATCTTTTAATCACCAATATCATAGTATATATATCAAAAATTTTTATTATATAAGGCTACAAAAAGCTAGAGGTTCAGCATGTATTTTGATCTGTCCTCGCGTCGGTATATACTCGTACATACAATGACTGCTAAAATGACACTGGTAAATGAATTAGAAATTGAAACTGTCGTGTGCCAGGTGACTTTAAGTAATTACTATATACAATATTTTGAATATAAAATGAGTTAGTTTTTTACGAATAATTATGCCACGTAATAATGATAAGGTTATTTAGAGCCTGTAATTGCCTTTATCGTAACGGGGTCTTTTGTTAAGAAAAGCACAGGATTTTTCGTCGCCGGATTAGGCAAACGTATGAGAACTGTTCCTCTGCGATTACTTTCTCGTCACTTTCTAGATACCATCTCACAAAACGACGAAGCAAAATTACATACCTGTTATTAATGCGATTACCTACTAAAACAATAGGGGAACCTTAAATGTTAAGTGCTCGCCGGTATTTTCAGGTGGCAGAAATATTACTTATAAACGGTTACATATGGTCGAACTATAAATTTTCAAACCTAATTATATTGTCAATATTAAACATAAACTAACTACTTGTAAGTCGGTGTACATCAGACTGCATGCTACCATTATTGCAAAATTGAGTCAGTGCTACGAGCACTCTGAAAGCATTTGTGCCTTGAATTATGAAATTATCATGCAAATATCGTGTTGGAATTTTCATTCATAGCATTTTATTGAATGTATTGATTTGATTCTGCATTTATTACGTGAGTATATACAATAAATTTATAGCCATAATGTCATTGATAGTTGTAGAAAGGTCAAAGTTTGAATATAATTCTTTAAATCATCGTTGAAGTTCGTCGCGAGTAGACAAATAGTCTTCATGTTTTTGTTAAAACTAACGTTGGTTAATAACTACTAAACAAATAATAAAAATTAATTTGCACATAAATAAAAAAAGATACTGAAGTGTTTTATTTTTTACCTATAAAGGTA